ATCTGCATCATCATTTTCATCCCCATCTTCTGAATCACCATCTGATTCTATTACTTCCGTACTGGAAATAAGTCCAAACTTTTGGCATAACTTTCTCCATTCTATGAGCAATATTAGAAAGTCTTCCGCAGCCTCATTTCTCACCTGCTCAACATTCAAAATCAACTCATCACATGTGTGGACAATCAACTTCCTAACACACAATGAAAAATCAGCAATGAAGAATTACCTCAGTTTCAGGATGATTCAGTCTCAAACTATCACAAGCGAAGCTGTTGATATCTACTGCCCATTTCTGAAAATCAGAAAGAGCTAAGTAAATCTTGTACAAAAAAAAACAATGTGGAAGTGGAAGACGTTTAATACAGCCAACAGTGTACCGTAATCAGTTTTATGCCTGATAGGGAAGCCCCCATACACAACCCAGTTGACATTGCTCCACACCCACTATATAGATCAAGCAAGAATTTTTCCTTCTTCTGGGGAATCTGAATGCAATTGGAATCAGATTCACTTGAAATTGTTGATGATGCATCACCATCTGTGTTGGGACATTTTGGCAAGACAAAAATCATCAGTAGTCTTCAAAATACTATGAACAAAATTAGTAAGGATATGAATGATAAAACTACAGAAACCAAAGCTTAAAATGACTTAACTTAGATAAGATAGTGCTCATATAAAAATGTCGAAGTTTATAGGAAGCTAGTTAAAATACCATCGGCTGCGGTTGAAAAGGTCAGGTGAGCTAGCTCATATTTCATATCGTAATAAAAATCACAAGGCGGTATATCTCTCTCCTCAGCTCCGGAAACAATCTGTTGTCAAAAAAAAGTGTTACACAATCAAAAAAACTTCCCATGTACTACTACACTACTGAATTCATTGTAATCAATCAATACCTTGGGTGGAACTTTCACAATGTTTACTCGAGAAACAATGCAATTGAGGGGATTATCATCTTCAACATTGGAAAGAAACACCCTCTTTTCTTGAACCTTAGTTGCAAGGGTTTTGATTACCTAAAAACAACAACAAGAGCATTAATTAGCAAGAAGAGAGCAATTCTACTTAAAAGAAGTGAAAATCTAGTGACAACTCAAAACATAGTAACATCTCACCGTATCTTCAGGTCTATAGAACCAGCGAGCTCTAAAATACGGCTCACCATCAACCGCTTCAAAAAATTCAACAATCTTTGCAATATAATTCGGGTTCCCCTCTTCAGCCTATCACCAAAAGAAACACATGTGGCATAAGATATATTGGTATGACACAACACACAACATTAAGAAAATAAGGATAATAACTATAAGATAATAAATCAAGAATCTTGCTCAAATCTATTTTCAACTATTATTATAAAGTCACATCAGAAAGTAAAACCAAATCTGTAACAACAACAAAAATCAACACAAGAATGACAATTAAATAATTTAAAAATCAAAGATAGTTACTTTAACGTAGACATCGTCACCAAGATTGAAAAGAGTTCCATCTACAAGAGCTTGGCTGTAATGACGTTTAGCCTCCAGAGTCTCGTCACTGCCACTGTTTCAAAGAACATTGAGACATAAAGATAACAGCACACAGAAGGAGAAAAAGAAACACATTTACCCGTCATAAAAAGTACTTCCCACTGTTACAGATGTTTTAGCCTTTGAAGATCTGTAGCGAATGGGCCATTTCGTCACAGCTTCCTCCACTGAGATGGGCTCTCCGGTAAAGGATAGATCCGTGGAAGGCTCCGGCCGCTTCATGTTTTTGGGGTGTTTACAGGATTTGCAGCCGGAGGATAGGTAAGGACAACACAGAGAGGAGGAGGATGATGTAAATGTTATTATTGCTGCATTTAAGTTGAAAAAAATATAAAAATTATCTGGCTCTATAAAATTAAATTTTAGATATTTTGTTGTTTTTTCAAAATAGGTTAGTTAAGCGGGAACAATTGGCAGGGCGGCAAGCGCCTATGGTTTTCAATTTTACGAAATTCACCTTTAGCTAATGTTTCTACTAGAGCTGGGTGCAAGGCGAGTACTTGCTATTTTACGTGTATTTGATACTTGACTTGCCTTACACGAGTAATAAAACTTCCGACTTGTATTTGACTTGTTAAAAACGAGTACTTGATCAAATATCAGTTACTTGCAAATTACTTGCCTCGCTTTATTACTTGTTAGTTAAAATTAATTACTAAATAATCATATACCAAAAGAACATGAAGATTTACTTATTTATTTTACTAAAAAGAACATACAATTACTTTAAAAAAAATTTATGCATAACGAGTTTAATATCTTATTTAGTAATGAGTTGTCATGTTTATTAAATTAATATTTGTATGAAACTAACATCAAATCAAGACAATTATTATTTTTTGCAAGTAACACGTATTATTATCAAATAACGAATATTTTGTAGAATGAGTAACGAATATTTATAAAAAGAGTAATGAATACCAAGTAACGAGACAAGTATTGAAAAATGAAATAATACTTGATACTTGCCTTGCCTTTGCGAGTAATAAAATTTGTTGACTTGTTACTCGACTTGGCAACACCGAATACTTGGATTTTCAAGGCGAGTACGGGTTAAGTAACGGGTATAAGGTGAGTATCGAGTAATGATGTCCAGCCCTAGTTTCTACAGTGTCGAATATAATCGCGTACTAGGTGTTTTGCCCGCACATGCGGGCTTAATTATCTTTAAATCTATTTAAAAATCATCAAAATAAATGATATTTGCATCCAAAAAAATTAACCTAAAACATTATTTTTTTTACATGATAAATTTATTCACATATTAAAAAATATACTTCTTCCTTTTAAATTTTAAAAAATCTAAAATCTATTTCCTTTCTTCTTAATTAATAAAAATATAGAAATCTATCTTTCAATTTGAAAAAAAATAAATCGATAAATATACATTCAAAAATTGATCTTAGAAAAAGAATAATATTAGTTTAGATAATAATACAATTAAAATTTATTTTTGCCAAACACGTTTTTTTTTTGTTTTTGAATGATTTTTTATTTTATTATGATAAATTCATGTTTAAGGATTACTTATATATAAAAATATAAAAATAAATTTAATTTAACGTGTGAGCCCAGATGCGAAAATAACTTCACAAATATATATAAATATATATATATATAATTATATTAAATTATTATATTCTTTTAATTTGAAAATAATTATGTATTATAATTTTGTAAAATTTTATTTTCAATTATATACAGTTAAAGTTTTTACTTAATTAATATTTATTTATGTGTTTTATGTTTTTGAAATTTTTTTATTAAATATATTTTCCGGATAACAACACAATATATATAGGAATTATCTTTTTATTTTTAAATATATATTTAGATTATGGATAATTCTTATCATTATTATAGATTTAAATCATTTATCTAATCAAATAAATATTAAATTCGTTTTTCTTAATGGCTGATTTTATATATTTATTCATTAAGGGTAATATCGATATTAACCAGTCTAACTTTTAATGTGAGAGCTCCGTTGCGAAAAATCACTTCACAAATAATAGTATAGATTTGCGCGAAATTGATCTTAGCGAGCCCAATAAAGGCCCATAAGAGAAACTAGATGCAGACTTGAAGCATGAATGGCAATCGAACTGAAAATTCGACGTAAAAAGAAGGGCGAAATCGTAAACTTGAATCCGTTCTTTTTTCTGTAATATGATGCGATTCCCTTGCTTCGTCGGCGCGTGTGAGCCACGCGCATCGTCGGTCGTGTGCAGAAAACCTGTCGGACATGGCTAATAGCCTTATTACGCGTTTTCGTAATTCAAGTTTCCACTCACACGAGTGGAGGTGAAACGAATCAGTTTGTTTAGATGAGGAGAAAGCCCAGTGATACTATAGTCGCGGAAGCAGAGAAACAATGATTTGAGCAGAGTCTATTTGGTTGCCGAAATGGTTTCGTGTAGTGTATCTCTAGCTGCGAGAATTAGGGATTCAGGCAAGCTTGATTTTGCATTTCCCTTGCTTTTGAGCCAAAATCGTCTTACGTTGTGTTTCAAATTTCAACTCAAACGAGTTGAAGTGAAAAGAATCGTTTGTTTAGATGACAAGAGCGTTACTGATATATATATGTCAATGTTATAGTCTCTGAAGCAGATAAATAAGTAGAGTTATATCTTAAGGCTTTTTTTGCAGTCCAGGAAGATTTTTATGTACGTGTTGTATGCACAGCGACATAAGTAACCTATGCATACCTGTGACGTGTAACTAGGTACATAGTTTGCAACTCTTATTGACCTGAAAATCTTAACCATTTTATGCTTGCCGTTTGTTTCAGAAAGATTAAGTAAGCATGCTTCATAACAGAAGGAGGAGATCCGTCACTCTTTCTAATTGCATTTATGTCCTGTTCCATAAGAAGGAGTCCCCGAGGTAATGAAACGATTGGTTATGTGCAAGCTGAATTTGGGTCTAAGAAGTTTAAATTTACTTTCTTTTAGCTCTTACCTCACTAACTTTGAGTTTTGTTTAGTATAAGTTGTAATCATTGAGAAATTTGTTTATAAAAATAGATTTCAAATATTACAATATGCTTGTGCCGTGTTGATACATCAGTATATATTTACTATTGTAGGTAAATGGGGCCTGACCATGTACTATTTAGTGAAGGATTGTCATTGTATGGACTTGACTTGACTATTACTGGTGCCCTGTTATTTCGTCTAATTTTCTAAGTCACATGACTCTTCTCGTAGAATGGGTGTCAATGACCGATGTTAACTGCTTCACAAAATGACAGAAGAACACACACTACGATACAAGTTTGTTATTTCAGGTGTGTCCCACTTGTCTTTTAATATAGACTCACAGCATTTGCTCGTTTCATGAAACAGTTGTTCAGAAACAAAACACTAAAATGAAGCTCGTCTTTGTCTTCTTGTTCTTTTTCTGCCTCCTCCAGTCTTGTGTCTGCGACGATACGATCATGAGAACACAGTCCATGAGAGATGGTGATGTTATACTCTCTGAAGGGAAGAGATTTGCATTTGGATTCTTCAGCCTTGGAGTTTCAAAGCTTCGTTATGTGGGGATTTGGTATGCTCAAATCTCTGACCAGACCGTTGTATGGGTTGCAAACAGAGACCGTCCCATGAATGACACATCTGGAGTAATAAGGTTCAGCAGCAGAGGGGATCTCTGCATCTATGCATCAATCAACACAACAGAGCCTCTCTGGTCGACTAATGTTTCGGACAGTATCCTGGAACCAACTCTAGTTGCGAGACTCTCTACTCTTGGGAACCTTGTTCTTCTTGATTCAGTTACAGGGAGGGGTTTCTGGGAGAGTTTTGATCATCCTACAGACTCTTCTCTTCCGTCTATGAGGTTGGGTTTCACACGAAAAGATGGCCTGGATCGCTTTCTGACGTCTTGGAAATCTTCTGCTGACCCAAGTTCTGGAACTTTTACATACCGGATAAACCGTACGGGATTCCCGCAGATGATTGTGTACAAAGGTCTGATCCCATGGTGGCGTGCTGGAACGTGGACCGGGTTAAAATGGAGCGGTGTGCCTGGAATGGCAAGAGGAGGCTCTTCTATCTTCCATAGCTCTTTTGTTAATAATCAGGACGAAGTATCCATAACTAACCTCGTGACCGATGCTTCAGTCATAACAAGAATGATGGTGAACGAGACAGGAAACTTGCAACGTCTCACATGGGCCGCAACGGAGAAGAGATGGAATCTGTACTGGTCAGTTCCTAAAGAGGAATGCGACAATTATGCACACTGTGGCCTTAACGGTTACTGCGATCCCACAAGTTCAGCATCATTTGTGTGCACATGCCTACCTGGTTTTGAACCAAAGATGCCCCGGGATTGGCTCTTGAGGGACACTTCGGGGGGATGTACTAAGAAAAACAACGCTTCACTATGCGGTGAGAAAGAAGGGTTTGTGAAGTTAAGGCGCGTGAAGATTCCAGACACATCAGTTGCTAGTGTGGATATGAATATAACGTTGAAAGAGTGCGAACATAGGTGCTTGAGGAACTGCTCTTGTGTTGCTTACGCAAGCGCTTACTACGAGGGTGTGGGAGGAGCAATAGGATGCCTGACATGGCACGGTGGTATGTTGGATGCGAGGATATACATGAACTCGGGACAAGATTTCTACATACGCACAGACAGGGAAGAGATAGGTATATATATAATTATAAATGTATTCTAATAAATTCTGAGGGATCTTGAACATGCCTCAGATGTCTACTCTGCAACACAGAGAACACAAGAAACATTCAGTCTAAAGTATTTTGAAGTACTTAGTACCCGTTTGCTTGCTTGTTGCAGAGCGGTGGAACAAAAATGGCTCAGCAGGGAAGAAGAGAGTCATTATCATTGTCATCAGTTTGATTATAGCCGTAACGTTAGTAGCCGTCATTTCGTTCTGTTTCGTAAGGAAGCGACGAGGTAAGTGAATCTACACGATGTATCTTTCAAGCTCATATGTTTCTTGTTTATCTCACAACTAGCTAATTTGAACATTCACACCTACAGAGTCGAATAGGCAAAGAAGATCTTCAACAACCTTAGCTCCAGGTTCTTTTGATATTAAAGACCCATTCAGATTTGAAGAGGACCAAGGGAGAGAATGGGAGTTACCTCTCTTTGAGCTTAATACGATCACTACAGCTACGAACAATTTCGCTTTCCGTAACAAGCTTGGAGAAGGTGGTTTCGGACCCGTTTATAAGGTAATGAAGATGCAAATATGCATAAACTATGTATATGCAAATCATTAACAATACTCCTCCATCAAAACAATCTTCAAGTTCAATTAGTGAGGGAGCATTTAGTTTTCAAACAAAACAAATTGCGTTGTGTCTCTTCTCAGGGCGTGTTAGAAAACGGTATGGAGATAGCAGTGAAGAGGTTGTCGAAAAACTCGGGCCAAGGAATGGAAGAGTTCAAGAACGAGGTCAAGTTGATATCAAAGTTGCAGCATCGGAATCTCGTGAGGATGTTAGGGTGTTGCGTTGAATCGGAAGAGAAGATGCTGATATACGAGTATCTACCAAACAAGAGCCTAGACTATTTCATATTCCGTAAGTTCAGCATTCCTGATGCATGTAGTCAAATATTCCAACTCATGAAGATCTTATGGTGTTGTGTTTCTCGTAGATGAAGAGCAGAGAGCGGAGTTGGATTGGCCAAAAAGGATGGAGATAATATGCGGGATTGCTCGTGGAATCTTGTACCTACATCAAGATTCAAGACTAAGGATCATCCACAGAGACCTCAAGGCCAGCAATGTACTTCTTGACAATGAAATGATCCCCAAGATTGCGGATTTTGGCATGGCTAGAATCTTTGGAGGCAACCAAATCAGAGGAAGCACAAATCGGGTCGTCGGAACATAGTGAGTTAGTCTTTTCAGTTCCCATTGAACTGTACAATATCTTTCAACCTTACATCGTTTTCAATCTCATTGCTCAGCGGCTATATGTCACCTGAGTATGCAATGGAGGGTCATTTCTCCGTTAAATCTGACGTCTACAGCTTCGGAGTATTGATCTTAGAGATCATAACAGGAAAGAAGAACAGTGCTTTCCACAAGGAATCTTTGAACCTAGTCGGACATGTAACTAGAATATGCCAAGAATTTTACATATACAGAAGTTCAAAGCAGAACATAACATAACCAAATGTTGTTTATTTCGTCTTGTCTTGTAGATCTGGGATCTATGGAACAAAGGTGTAGCAACGAAGGTCATAGACAAACTAATGAATCAAGATATTCATGATGAGAGCGAAGTGATGAAGTGCGTACACATTGGGTTGCTTTGCGTGCAAGAAAATGCTTCGGATAGACCAGACATGCCCTCTGTTGTGTCCATGTTTGGTCATAACGCCAATGACTTTCCTCCTCCGAAGCATCCTGCGTTTACGTCGGGAAGGAAGGCACACGTCAAGAATGACGACAGCACATCCGGTGCTTGCTTCAGTGGAGAAAACAGCACTTCTGTTAATGACATTACTCTCACTGATGTTCATGGCCGTTGAGATATTTTGAATTTCTGAGAGATCTATCTTATTTTGATAATCTACTTCCATAGAAGTGTGTGTTTTAGTTTTAATTACAAGTACGTGTGAGACGATTATTAAGCAGGAGAAGAAATGGGGAAGAGTGGCGGTGGTGGTTGGCTCCCCGCCGGTGGATCTGATGTTTTCATTGTTCCCATGGTTTCTCCTCATATTACCTTGTAAGACTTATGATCATGCCCTTTCTGCATTATGCTTATTGGCTGATGAATTTACTGTGTTTAATATATCAAGTCACTATCAACTTCATATTCACTTGCTATGGGGATTGGTATATATAATATATCTTTGGGGCTAGTGGTTAAAATGTCACATAAAGTTATTGCCAGTCATTATCATCTTTAACTTCATATGCTATGGGATGTAAGTGTTTCTAGGTAGTGATTGATATATATCTTATAGAGTTCCTTTCCAAGGAGGATTAAAAAAAAAGCACATTAGGATGTATGATTTTTTCTTGTGTCGGTTACCATGAGAATAATTGTGGAAGGTGATATTACATGTATGATCTAAAGGCAGAGAAGATCAACATAATATGTTTGAGGCAGCAGTATGGTAAATACCATGAATCCGTGTAGATTTAACTTTCCTTGAGGTTAGCTCAATAAAATAAAACAAGAAGTAGAAATGATATGTGTAAAAGTGACTCTTGTCTTCTAAGTTTCAGTTGTCAATAAAATTTGCGTATAAAGTAGGTCTTTGAATATCAATATATGCTTGTCATGTTACACATAAGTAAGTATTTATTATTGTAGGGAAACTTAGGTGGCGTGGACTGATTCCTACACAGTGAAAAAGGCAATGATTGAATGGACATTGGCAAGGAAGAAAAAGGTTTCACGACGTTGGTAACCTTTTTAGTTCGTGTCATGTTATAAGTCACATGAATGAGTTTGTATTGTTTCTACATGGTTGAAAGTTCAACCTTAGAGAGATAAATCCGGAACAGAGCGTGACTGATCGATGCCTGCAGTTAATGTTGTTAGTTCAGGTGAGTCCCACTTGGATATTTCAATAAGACAACAAGCATTTATACGTTTCCATCAAACTTTCATCAGAAAACAAACACAAGATGAAGATCTTCTTCATCCATTTCTTTGTCTTATTCTCCCTCCTTGTCCATTCTTCCTTGTCCAACAACATGATCATGAGAACACAGTCCATGAGAGATGGTGATGTTATATTCTCTGAAGGAAAGAGATTTGCTTTTGGATTCTTCAGCCTGGGGACTTCAAAGCTCAGGTATGTTGGGATTTGGTATGCTCAAGTCTCTGAGCAGACTATTGTATGGGTTGCAAACAGAGACAATCCTATTAATGACACATCTGGTCATATAAAGTTCAGCAGCAGAGGGAATCTCTGTGTGTATGGATCTCTCAACGGAACAGAACCTATCTGGTCTACCGATGTTTTGGATACAATCTCAGAACCGGCTTTAGTTGCAAAGCTATCTGATCTAGGAAACCTTGTCCTGCTTGATCCTGCCACAGGCAAAAGTTTCTGGGAGAGCTTTAATCATCCTACAAACACTTTGCTTCCCTTTATGAAGTTTGGATTCACTCGGCAAGACGGTTTGGATCGGTTCATGACGTCGTGGAGATCTCCTGGTGACCCTGGTTTTGGAAACGTTACGTACAGGATAGACCGTAGAGGGTTTCCACAGATGATGATGTACAAGGGAACGACTCTATGGTGGCGTACTGGGTCATGGACAGGGCAGAGATGGAGCGGTGTGCCTGAGATGACAAACAAGTTTATATTCAACATCTCGTTTGTGAATAGTCCTGATGAAGTATCAATCACTTACGGTGTGTTGAAGCCTCTAGTCATAACAAGAATGGTGTTAAACGAGACGGGAACCTTGCAACGGTTCACATGGAACGGGAAGGATAAGAAGTGGATCGGGTTCTGGTCAGCTCCTGAGGAGAAATGTGACAACTACAACCACTGTGGTCTTAACGGTTACTGTGATTCCACAAGTCCAGACAAGTTTGAGTGCTCTTGCCTACCGGGGCACGAGCCTAAAACACCTCTAGCTTGGAACTTGAGAGATGCTTCGGATGGGTGCAAGAGGAGCAACACAGCTTCGATATGTAGTGGAAAAGAAGGGTTTGCGAAGTTGAAACGCGTGAAGGTTCCAAACACATCAGCTGTAAGTGTGGATATGAACATAACGCTTAAAGAATGTGGTAAACGGTGCTTAAAGAACTGCTCTTGTGTCGCTTATGCGAGCGCTTACCACGAGAGCGAAGACGGAGCAAAAGGGTGTTTGACATGGCACGGAGATATGTTGGATACAAGGACATACTTGAGTGCAGGACAAGATTTCTATCTACGTGTAGATAAGGCAGAGTTAGGTACTTACATACACTCTGTTACTTGTTTCTGCTTCATTGTTTTGATTTATTTTGTTTGTTTCAGCGCGGTGGAATGGAGATGGCTCATCAGGGAAGCGGAGATTTTTCTTTATTGTAATCAGTATGATTGCAGTCGTGATGTTGCTAATGATCATTCTGTTCTGTTTCATGAAGAAACGACGGCGTAAGATATTCTCTGATGATCATCATTTTAAGCATACATGTTTGCTTGCTAAGCTCACAGCTAAAGAACTTGAAAACATGTACAAATGCAGAGTCTAAGAGGCATAAGAAACCTCCATCAACCTTCACCCCGAGCTCTTTTGAGATTGAAGACTCATTAGTATTAGAAGAGCTTGAGGATAAATCAAGAAACCGGGAGTTGCCTCTCTTTGAGCTTAGCACAATCGCTGCGGCGACTAATAACTTCTCTTTTCAAAACAAGCTTGGAGCAGGTGGTTTTGGACCTGTTTACAAGGTAAGGAAAAAGCAAAATAAAACCAATCTTCATACATGCTTATAATATATGTATAAGCAATCTTGTAAGTTCTTTGTTTCTATTTTCAGGGCGTGTTAGAAAACGGTATGGAGATAGCAGTAAAGAGGTTGTCGAAAAACTCAGGGCAAGGAATGGAAGAGTTCAAGAACGAGGTCAAATTGATATCGAAGTTGCAGCATCGAAACCTCGTGAGGATCTTAGGGTGTTGCGTTGAATCGGAAGAGAAGATGCTGATATACGAATACTTACCAAACAAGAGCTTAGACTATTTCATATTCCGTAAGTTCAACGTTTCAAACACAAATTCAAATCCTCTCTTTCAGAAAGATCAATAATAACTTTGTATTTGTTATCTTCTTCGTAGATGAAGAGCAGAGAGCAGAGTTGGATTGGCCAAAACGGATGGGGATAATCCGAGGGATTGCGCGTGGAATCTTGTATCTTCATCAAGATTCAAGACTAAGGATCATCCACAGAGACCTCAAGGCCAGCAACGTACTTCTTGACAACGAGATGATCCCCAAGATTGCTGACTTTGGCATGGCTAGAATCTTTGGGGGCAACCAAATCGAAGGCAGCACAAACCGAGTTGTTGGAACATAGTGAGTTATTATTCTTTTTTCATCAGTTTCCCCCAAGACTCTTTGAACTTGTTATTCAATCTGAAAGAGTCGTTACAATCTTGTTGTTACAGTGGATATATGTCACCAGAGTATGCAATGGATGGTCAATTCTCAATAAAATCCGACGTCTACAGCTTCGGAATATTGATTTTAGAGATCATAACCGGAAAGAAAAATAGTGCAATCTACAACGAAAATTCAAATTTAGTCGGACATGTAAGTAAAAAACTGCAGTTAATTTTTCGTATACTGGTTAAGGTTTGTGTCGGAAACAAGATAATGCTTGTTTATTACTTGTAGATTTGGGGTCTATGGGGAAAAGGTGAAGCAAGAGAGATCATAGACACGTTAATGGACGCAGAGAGTTATGAAGAGAGCGAAGTGATGAAATGCGTACACATTGGATTGCTTTGCGTGCAAGAAAGCGCCTCGGACAGACCAGACATGTCTTCTGTTGTGTTCATGTTGGGACATAACGCCATAGATCTTCCATCTCCGAAGCATCCTGCGTTTACGGTGGGAAGGACGAGAAACGTCAAATACGGCGGCAGCTCAGGTAATTGGCCCAGCGGAGAGACCGGTAGTTCTGTAAATGATGTTACCCTCACCGACGTTCAAGGTCGTTAAAAATAATTCCAAAAGTGTCTTTCTCTTTGTTACATACAATAATGGTCTTTACTCTATACGTATAGTTAAGTAACTTAAGTTAATAGCAATACTTGGTTAATTATGGATCTTTGTAGAAAGTTGCTTCTATGAATGTAATTCAGAATTATTGTTGTAAAGTTATAATATTACCAAGTCAAAAGGAAAGTTACTTTTATGAATGTAATTCAGAATTACTAGACTAGTCCCCGCGCAAGCACGGGGTTGTATACGTTGTTGATGTGTTGTGTAGTTTTGTGTATGAGACTTTGATGTTTTTTTTTAACATTTGTTTATCTGGCTTATCTATAATGGTGATGAATGAAACATTAGAAGTCACACAACTGGGAAGACGACGTATTTCCCCACCATAACTATGGCATAGTAATAAATATACACAAAGTTTTGAGGTCGTCCTAATTGCACACCGTTAAAGTTTGACAACCACTTTCCACATAATAAGAAAGTTTGAACCTCGTTTCCACACAGACCATGATTTGACTTGGTTTTATCGGTTTATTACATTAACCGATAGTAAACCAGTTNGGGAAGACGACGTATTTCCCCACCATAACTATGGCATAGTAATAAATATACACAAAGTTTTGAGGTCGTCCTAATTGCACACCGTTAAAGTTTGACAACCACTTTCCACATAATAAGAAAGTTTGAACCTCGTTTCCACACAGACCATGATTTGACTTGGTTTTATCGGTTTATTACATTAACCGATAGTAAACCAGTTATATTGGTACGCCTCGACCCAGAATCCGACTATGGATCAATTTATACCCGACCCGAAACACCTTTAAAACCCCCAAATCGAGTTGTTGTCTTTAGAACCCTAAAATTTTAAAAATTGAGAGAGAGATTCCTTTTCGATGTTGTAATCGTTACGCTCTCTTCGATCTTCACCATCAGAGTCGACTTCATCAGGAGAACCAGGTGTCCCTAGGTTGAATTCCGGTACATCACTCCACTCTACATTCACATCAGTGAGTGACTCCATTGTTGATTCCTGAAAAGAGACAACGAGAGAGAGAGAGACACAGAGATATCAAAACAGAGAGATCAAAACAGAGAGACACAGAGGGACAAAGAAACAAGGCAAGAGAGAGATGGTGACAGAGAAGAGATGTCAAAATTACCTAGACTAAACACAATCGGTGTACAATCGAGAGAGAGAGAGACAATATGTATGTTCTTCTTCAGGACAGATTGGTGATTTAGGGTTTCTAATCGGGTTCTGGGTTGGTTTAGTTGTTTAATCGGGTTTTTATTCTCTAATCGGGTTATAATTGGGTAGTTTTTGGTTTAGTTAGGTAAGAGATTGGTTAACCTTAGGTTTAGAGAACTTTAACCAATTTTTAAACCGACATTTATTGATACTAGTTCGATTTATAAAGATTAGGTGGAAACGAGGTTTGAACTTTCTTATTATGGGGAAAGTGGTTGTCAAACTTTAACGGTGTGCAATTAGGACGACCTCGAAACTTTGTGTACATTTATTACTATGCCATAGTTCTGGTGGGGAAATNGAACTTTAACCAATTTTTAAACCGACATTTATTGATACTAGTTCGATTTATAAAGATTAGGTGGAAACGAGGTTTGAACTTTCTTATTATGGGGAAAGTGGTTGTCAAACTTTAACGGTGTGCAATTAGGACGACCTCGAAACTTTGTGTACATTTATTACTATGCCATAGTTCTGGTGGGGAAATACGTCGTCTTCCCCACACAACTTGATTAGTCTGATAAAAGAATAAACATCGAATTGATTAGTCTGATAAAAGAATAAACATCGAATTCATATGGGTTGATATTTTCATATTTTATCTTCGTAGTGATTTTATCGAGCATTCCCTTTATTAATGATTTTATCGAGCATTATTGTTATTAGTGCTTTCATGTAAAAAAATAATTTAGTGGAGACAAGACAAAAAAAGGACATGTTTTATTTAGTGCAAATTTCTTTCTGAAATTATGTTGTATATATATATATATATATATATATATATATTTTAATTGTGATGTATATGAGATTTATGGCCGATCTGAATGGTTCGGAGTAAATATTTATCATTGAAAAAATATGTTTTTATTTTATTTGATGATTATAACTGAATTGAAATGATATTGGAGGTTAAAACATGATAACCTTTCTTATAAAAGTATCTAAGATGATCTCATAAAGTTTCAAATGCTTAAGCCATTTTGTATCCAACAACCAGCATAAAAAATCATTTTGAATCTTCCTAAGCTTTTAGGTATCCCGAAAAGCCCAAATTAAAAGGAAAAAAATTACATGCAAGCACTGCGTTCGAATCCGCGCACTCGCGGTACCAACTTCTCGTCACCAACTTACACCACTGGGTCATTTCATCACTCATCGATAACATTTAATCTTACAAAATGTATACGTTTTTATTTTCCCTAAGAACACGCACGGAGTCCGCAAACTTGCTGATGTGGACACGCGGAGGAGCTTCAAAAGTGTATTATTATTATATAGATTGTTGTAAAGTTATAATATTACAAGTCAAAAGGAAAGTTTTAATACACTATTGATGCTTTGTGTATTTCCATATTTTGCTATAAATTTTAAAATTACACTGAATTACAGTAGTAGATTAGTGGTTTAATCGAAATGTTTAGTTTTGTTGTGTTTCTAATTCCAAATGATCCATATTTTAGAATATTTAAAAAAAAAAAATTAAATTAAATATTTGTAATGTATGTAAAGATTTGTAATGTATGTAATATGACAAATTGTAAATTTCGAAAACATTAGTTATGTTTACTGATTTTTGATTAGCTAAAAATTATAGAAATAGTTAAATATTTAGAATCAAAATTTTACATGAGTTCTTAAGACATGGGTCTTAGCGGAAGCTTAGAAACTGTTTCTTAACTTCCGGTAAGAACCCTGTCTTAAGAACCCCGGGTTAATCATGGTCTAAAACTACATTATTTTGAAACGAATGAAGTATTTTACAACGTATGCTGATTCCAGATTAGAGAAGAAACTAATCTATACTATTATTTAAGAAATAATTTTGCTTAATTGTCATGTTCTCCGAAAGTTTAGGTAATTTTGTTTATTTATCTTATTTTAATATTTATATATAATTATTTACAAATAAAACGAATGTATATGAATATATTATATTTTTAGAAAATAAGATAATTTTTGTGAATTATATTGTTAACTTGAACTATATTATATTATATTATATTATATAAAAGTTAAATTTTAAATTAAGATATAAAAATTATTCTATTTATTATATAACTAAAAAAATTATATTAATAATTTTATATTTTTCCAAAATAAGATAATTCTTATGTATTATGTTGTTATGCTGAAAATATATTTTCCTATTATAAAACTTAAAATTAAGATATAAAAATTATAGTATTAATAATTAAATATAAATCATCAAAACAATTATTTGAAAAGTGAATTTGTTGATTTGTCAACTTCTCCATGGTCCTAGGTAGTTTTGATCATTTATCATAATTTATTTAATTTTTTATTTTTATTATATAATTAAAACTAATTTATATTAATAATATGATATTTAAGAAATTAAATTAATTCTTATATATTAAGTATGTTGTTATCTTAAAAATATTTTTTATTATAAAATTTTAATTTAAATGTAAATGTAAAAAATCTATATTATTATTTAAGAAGTGAATTAGATGTTTGCTGATTTGTCATATTTTCTATGATTTTAGGTAACTTAGATAGTTTATCATAATTTCTATAATATTATATATATTTTATTATATATTTAAAACAAATTTGTATTAATAGTATTAGATTTTTAGATAATAAGATATTTATGTATTATGTTGTTGTCTTGAAAATACATTTTTCTATTAGAAATTTAAAATTGATATATAAATAGTTGTAGTTATTCTATAATTAAAATAAATTTACACTAACAATATTATACTTTTAGAAAATAAGACAATTCTTATGTTTTATGTTGTCATCTTGAAAATATAATTTTATATTATATAATTTAAAAGTAAAATAGAAAATATGTATTATTAATAAAATAAAAATCACCACTCAAGCAAAATTATTTGAGAAGTGAATTTGCTAATTTGTTAAGTTCTCTATGATTTTAAGTAATTTACCTTATATGTCCTCATTTCTATAATCTTATATAATTATTATATAATTAAAATGAATTTAGCATATAATATTTTTTGAAAATTAATAACATATGCATTATATTGTTATCTTGAAAATATGTTTTTTGCTATTATAAAATTTAAAATTAAGATATAAAATTATAATTAAATATAATTTAAATAAAAATATTTGTATAAATATTATAATTAAATATAAACCAAACAAAATAATTATAGATATATATTCTTTTAATTATTTTTGATGTTTGCGTTTTGTCATTTATAATTATTTGATGTTTAGTCAATAGTTTTTGAAAATTTAAGTAATAAATTAATAAAACATCAATTAATAAATATTTATAAGATAATTATGTCCACAAGTGAGTGCAAAACACCTAGTTAAGGTGTAAAAGCTTACACTCTTCCTATGTAAAAAAAATCAAATTGACAACATACATCATGTAATTAACTTTAATTTGGATTCAGTTTAGCTGTTATGGGCTGAACATAATCTCGGCCCAAATACAAGTCCACGAGCTGATGATAGATCTTACGATGTCGTTTATAGGTCTTATCCCCTTGAATACATCGCCAAAGTGTTGTCCGAGCGGAACAGTGTCTCTTGCTGTCTTGCAATGGCTTCCTTCACAACATCATCTTCTTCGTCCTCGCTTCTCCCCAAAACCCTACTTCCCGTAACCCACCTGACACGCTTCCCTACAATCTCCTCCTCTATCCACCTTACCGGAAAATGGAATCCTCTCCTCCGGAGCATCTCCACCGCCGGGTCTCGCCGTCGTGTTGCTATTGTCAAGGCTGCGACGGTGGATTCGGATTACTCGTCGAGAAGGAGCAGCAGCAACGAGCAGAGGGAGACGATAATGCTCCCGGGATGCGACTACAACCACTGGCTGATTGTAATGGAGTTTCCCAAGGATCCAGCGCCAACGAGGGAACAGATGATTGATACTTATCTCAACACTCTCGCTACTGTTCTTGGAAGGTTCGTTTTCTCTTAAGACGCAAAGGCTTTATTGTTTTTTTTTTTCCCCTTTGAAGTTGCTTTTGTGTTCTTAGAGGTTACCTTGAGAGTTTGAAAGTAGTTAGTTCGTTTATTATGAATATATATATATATATATATATATATATATGAGCGTAAAGTTTCAGTCTTGCCTGTTTATTAATCACTTGAGTTGTGCAAATAGATTGAACATCTATTCCAGCTAAGTAGAGTAGTAGCTTAGTAGGCGGTCTCGAGCTGTTGCAGTTACGCATATTAGAAGCTAAAACGTTGTCCTTCTTCTTGAGGATCTCTACAGCTAAAACACTTTCTTTCTTATGTGTGTACTTGGCACTAAGTAGCGTTATTATGAATGAAAATATATGAGGAAGAAGAGAAGTATCTGTTTTCACATATTTTCTTCGCAGGCTATATATAAAATTGCAGATGTTATGATTACATTGAACAGTTTAACTGTTTAAGCAAGTAATGTTTGGAAAAAGGTGTTTGTGGTAAATGACTGTACTTCTGTATATAGATTTGTTGTTGCTAACTGTTTTTTTTTTGTTAGAGAAATTTAATCCTATATACATAGTTGTGCTGCTTCTGTAACCAATTAGTATACTTGTGTTCAGTTTCCAGCATAGCCAATTCCTTGTAGTGTGCTTATTCAGTGTACTTGTGTATGTTGGCTAGTATGGAAGAAGCAAAGAAGAATATGTATGCATTCAGTACCACTACGTATACTGGATTCCAATGCACCATTGACGAAGAAACATCTGAGAAATTCAAGGGTGAGTTTACTGATTATGGAAAGCTTTGATTTTTTTTTTACTGGAAGTTTATGCTTGGAATCCTTCAAAGATACTGACTGCTCAGTCTTGAATTTTCTTTTTTTTTTTACAGGTTTGCCTGGAGTTCTGTGGGTTTTGCCTGACTCCTACATAGATGTTAAGAACAAGGACTATGGAGGTAACCCTATTTAAGCCTGATTACTAATTTACAATGTGTCTAAGAACTCTTTCTCTCTCATTCACTTCACTTGTATGTATCCCTGTTTAGGCGACAAGTACATCAATGGAGAGATTATCCCCTGCACATACCCAACCTACCAACCAAAGCAGCGCAATAACACAAAGTATCAAAGTAAGAGGTACGAAAGAAAAAGAGACGGTCCTCCACCTCCTGAGCAGCAGAGGAAACCAAGACAAGCACCAGCTGCTTCTGATTCCCCTTGAACTATGATAAAACAAGGCCCAGCCCTTTACAATGTATTGTATGAGAGATTTTTGATCGATCGCTTAGTCCCTAGCTTATTCAAACCGGATGTAAACTCTTCTAGTATCAGTGATGAAACTGTGTCATCATCGTTTGAAACAATATAAGACAGGCCTTTTGGTTTCGGTTACTGCTCTGTTCGGTTAACTTGTAGCAAAGCTATTCAAATTATATTATTTGTTTGGTAGGAATCTATCTATGTCCACCGCCTGTTTCCACACGTTTTCTTAATACTAAATTCCAGACAAGACAAGAAAATTGCTGTCTGGTGGCAACTTTATTTGTAGTAGGGTCACTACACACTCGTCACAGTCTACATCAGAGTCGTCCCCACCTTATCAACACATCACATGGAATAGAAATAATACACTACATTGACTTAAAACCAAACGTTTCAAATCACTTTAATCAATGTTTCACCCAATCTTCTTCTTTCACCGACAGCACAGCAAGAGAGAGTTTCAAGATCATCCTTGAAGCTCTCTCTGACAATCAAATCCCAAGATGGCTAATTACTACGAGCATTACCAGATCCCATACGACTCCAACCAGGTTAATAATCTCTATGATCATAACTATTATGATAACTATCAACAGCAGCAGTTTGGTCTCAATCCAATGAGTTATGATTCAATGAGTTATAACAGTGGTTATAATAATTGGAATGGCTCATATGACTATGAGACAACCTTTGCATCTGTTGCTTACTCTGTTTCCACCATATCTGAGCCAAAACATTTGTTCTATGATCCAAATGTCTACACAACCTACGAGTCTCCTCCTCAGTTCAGTATCTACCGCTCTGTTCAAGCCTTCAACGAGCCGGAATTCGAGGAGTATGATCCGACACCGTACGGTGGTGGCTATGATATAGTTGCAACATATGGGAAACCTCTTCCTCCATCAGTGAAAATCTGTTACCCTCCTTCAACCGCTGCTCAGGGAAACCCTCCTTCTCCTCCAGAGGTTATAGCTCCTGTTCCTTTAGGAGTTTATGATGGTGGTGAAAAGAAAGTTGTAAAGAAACGTGTAACATTCTCTGAACCATTAGAGGAAGCTAGACCATTGGAAACCGTTAAAGAAGATGATCATCAAGAAGAAAAAGAAGAGGGAGATGAATCAGATGAAGATGAGGAGGAAGAAGAAGATGATAGTTCAAGCAATGGAAGTACTACTAAACCTGAAAGTGTCGATACAGGAGAAGTGAGAGCTGTGTATGTACCATCTGGTTACGGCTTAGAAGCGACGGATATATGCGAGGTGATATTCGGAGGATACTTTCCTTGTGTCTCACGTAACAAAAGACGCCAGGAGGATGATGAGAAGCGTGCGGCTGAAGTTTCTTGCTGGGAAAGCACTGATTCTGATCCGTGGAAGACTACTTCTGACTACCTTTTTGGGGATTCGTATCCGTATGGTTATGAGAATAGGCTCGAAAGAAGTCAATTTGAGGTATCTTCTTATGGTTACCAGAGGTATTATTAACCCGGACCTAGCTTCAAAAGAGTGCCATTTTTTTTTATATTAGTTAACTAATAATGAAGCTTCTGTATTAGCATGTAACCTATGCTTACATGCTTTCTTTCTTTCGGTTTTTTGGTTGATGTCCAACATTCTTATCAAAGACATAAAGACTTTCAAAAGGTTGATCAATAAATAAAATTTATAACAAACCATAGTACCGATTAGAGTTTGATTAACCTGAGGTTATTAGGATGGAGTTATTAAGGAACAATTTCTTAACTTGTGCTAACAACCCTACTTTAGGAACCATGGGTTAATCATGGTTACAGATCAATTGGTATTGTGGTTCGTCCATTGGTCGCTTTCAATTTCCCCTTACCCAGCTTCAAAACCCGAATCAAATCGGGTCCAACTAGATCTATAATATTATTTGAGAAGTAAATTTGTTTAGTTGTCATGTTATCCAAAAGTTTAATTTTGTTTATTTATCATATTTTTAATAGTTATATGTATTTTATTTATAAATAAAACGAATCTTCTATACTATTATATAAGAAACAAATTTGCTTAGTTGTTATGTTCACCATAAGTTTAGGTAATTTTATTTATTTATCATATTTTTAATATATGTATATATTATTTATAAATAAAACGAATTTATATGAATTATCTTATTGTCAATAAATTTGCTTAGGTAATTTTATTTATTTATCATATTTTTAATATTTGTATATAATTTATTTATAAATAAAAGAAATTTATATGAATATATCATATTTTTAGAAAACTAGATAATTCTTGTTTTACATGATACGACGTCGTTTTGGAGAAGCCTATCAAAACCCAGTCAATCGTCAACCCCCTCTTTTGTGCTCTTCTTCCTTCACCTATTAAAGGAAAGTGTGAAGCAGTAAAACCCTAAAATTCCCAAACGGGAAAAAGAGAGAGAGACGGAAGTTTAGAGGTGTCAGTGCTTAGGTCAACAAGATGATCATCCCTGTTCGCTGCTTTACCTGTGGAAAGGTTTGTTTTTTATTTTTCCTTTACTTACTCTACATTCGACAAACAAAAGATCTTTCAGATGATATGAATGTATCATTGGATTGATACGTAATTAGTCGATTAGATAATAAACGTTTCGAGAGATAAAAAGTTTTTGAGCTTTGCTAAGCTTTTCACTCTGTGTATAGGTGATTGGAAACAAGTGGGATGCCTATCTTGATCTTCTCCAGCTTGACTACACTGAAGGGTATTCTTCTTCTCGTTTTTTTTATTCATACTTTGTGATTTGTGTGGTGAAAGGAGACTCTACTTTAGTTGAATTTTGAGATAAATTTAGTCCAGATTTCGTTACTGTGTCTGGCGTTTATGTAGGTAGGGAGTAAATTGACCTCAAGTATGAGATTAGTTAGCCAATCATAAAGTTTTGTTGTTAAAGGATTTAGCTTTCAATAATCTTCTGTTTATGTGCCCAAGCCTAGTTTTGATATTTAGCTAATGATATGTTCTTCACATGTTAATGGAAAAGACTATTATGCATATCTTGTTTTGTCATTAGTGAACACTATTTCATTTTTTTTTTAGGCTCTTCTTGTTTGTTTGTTTCTCAATGAATAAAAAAGTTACAATTTGCTTTTTTTGCAGGGACGCACTTGATGCGCTAAACTTAGTTAGGTACTGCTGCAGGCGTATGCTTATGACTCATGTTGATCTTATTGAGAAGCTTCTCAACTACAACAGTATAGTCTTCAAACTCTATATATCTCTTGAACCTTTGTTTTTTTTTTTTTGTTGTTGTCCATAATGGATTTATACATACTATTTATTTCCTTGCAGCTCTGGAAAAATCAGACAACTCTTAATTAAAGAGGATGCAAATCTGCTGAAAAGAGTTTACTCGTCAGAGGCCTATGTACTATAAACATGTATGAAAAAACCCGGCGTTACTATTTTGTCATATGTATGTCAATGCCACTACTACGTGTTATGATTTTTCTGAGCTGAAAGAGTTGTTAACGTTCTAAGGAATTCATCTTTTATTAGAGAAATACAATTTGATTGGATTTGTGAGTCCAAAAACAATGAGAAGGTGAAAAATGATACTCTTCAAGGTCAAATAATTTACAACTACAATATTTGAACAATAACGAAATTACTACATTCCAGCATTGTTCCATATAGCACAAGGTGAACATCAATAACAATAATAGTCTTCAATAATAATGTTTTTCTTTTATTTTTGAAAGAATTTTAAATTTATTCAACCAAAAAAAACAGTTTTACAACTTGTGCAACATTGATCAAAAGAAAAAACTACAGAATTACAACTCAATCAAAATTACAACTCAATCAAAAACAAAGAAAACTCAATATCATCAATCACCTCTGCTCCTCATGCTTAACCATATGGAACAAGTCAAGCAATTGGAAGAATTATAAGATAATCCTCATTAAAACTTTTTTAAAGAAAATCCAAATGGGACAAAAAAACTCTAATAAGGAAAGAGTAATTATCCTATAACCAAGGGAAAGGAAATGATGAAAACCAAAGCCCAGAAAAACCAGAAGAAAATACCAGCAACCCAACTCAAATCTTCAGATAATCCACGAGAAAACCAACCACCCAAGTCTCAGAGACCCTCAGCACTCCAACTCAAAGCCTCAGAAAGTCCACGAGAAAAGCCAGACATCAACCACAGAGAACCATGACTTCAAACTACATCACACTAAGCTAAACCAAGCCTCCATAGCTTTATCATACAAGCTCTCATTCTTCCTCTGCAGAGAAGTAATCCTGTTTCTAATCAACTTATCTAAATTAGCAATAAGACAGGAAGAAGGTTGTTGAATATCCTCCACTCTCCTCACATTTCTTTCATACCATAATGCATAAGTCACAGCCTGAAAACTATAACGAAATAAGAAGGTCAGGATCCGATCATGAAGCCCATTCAAAGAAATATTAACCACCATAGACCATTCACAAACCCTTTGATTATACTCAGCCACACCTCCTTAGAGTAAGGACAGTTAAAGAACAGATGATCGCGAGTTTCAGTCTCCATTTTACGCAACCAACAAGTAGAATCAGCATGAGGATTCCACCTTAAAATTCTATCACCAGTCCCTAAACGATTTTGAATAGCAATCCAAGTGAAGAAAGAGAATCTCAGAGTATTACCTTTAAACCAAACGATTTTGAATAGCAATAATAGTGTTTTTCACTGGAGTAGAATTACAACTCTGGCTGTCCTCTTAATTCATTTGAATCAGTTTAAAGCCTTTAGCTCCAGCACCACAGAGGCACCGCCGGCCACGGCAAAGCCAGAGAGTCTTGGGCTACAAGGGCAGAGCGTTTAAGCAGCGTAAGAAAATTAAAGATGCCAGGGAGGAAAGAGCCCACAAGGACATAGGATACTACGGTTTCCTTCCGGAAAATTTGAAGCACGCAGGAACAGAGTTTTGACTCTGTTGTGTTTCTGTTACCCCGGGAGAAATCCATGATATCCTCCTCGTCTTTGTGGGTTCTCTCCTCACTCCACCCTCCTCGCTTGTCAAAGCCATTGCTTTGCTTCCTGAAGCTCGATCGGCTGAATATATATACACTAAACTAATGAATACCTCATGAGGTTGCTTTCTTTTTTGTAGACATGAAGATTTAAGTTTGTTTTGGAAGATAACAATACATTTTAAGATGCATTCAAATGGAGTTTGAACATTTATGGTTTGATTTTTGATAATTATTGTCGTGTAAATAAAGATTTATGTTTGTTTGAAAAGATAACGACAATGCGTTTAAGATGCATTCAAATGGAGATTTGAACATTTATGATTTGAATTTTGATAATTATTTTCGTGGAAAAAAATATTTACGATTTGTTTGAAAAGATAATGATCTGCTTATTGAAAGAGACAGACTTACGCCTAGCTTGTTATGGGAATAGTTAACACCATTGCGTGTTAGTGGAAAAACAAATCAATGAAGGCTTTATGGTTTCAAAACTTTAGTGAATAATGTAAAAAGGTTACAATTTGCTTTTGCAGAGATGCACTTGATGCGCTCAACTTGGTTAGATACTGCTGCAGACGTATATGCTTATGACTCACGTTGATCTGATTGAGAAGCTTTTTTGGATTTATACTATTTATCTCCTTAAAGCTCTGGAAAAATCAGACAACAGTTGAAAAGGAGGGTGCAAATCTGCTGAAAGAGTGTTGTTACTCGTCAGAGCCCTATATATCATGAAATATGTATGAAACTCTCTGTGTTTGGTGTAGAAAATTAAATCAATCTGAATCATGTTGCTTTTAGACTACGTCAGAGATTTTGTCATATGTATGTCAGTACCTCCGTGTTATGATTTTCTGAGCTGAAAGATTTGTCCTCTTAAGTAATTCATCTTTTAATGTCCTCCCGAGTTCTTACTTCTTAGTATGCTTGTCAATTGGATTTTTTTTTTTAAAAGTGATTGGATTTACGAGTTGAAAATCAATGAGAAGGAAAAAATTGACACTCTTCAAGATCAATAAGTGACATCTACGTATTAAAAACAAACATGAAATTACTACATTCCAGCATTAATCCAAATAACACAGAGAACGAAAGCACATGGTCTTACACGGTGAACATATATTTATCAACAAAAGTCTTCAATGAAAGACACTAAATCCTGCTATCATAATGTTTTTCGTTTTGGAGTAGAATTACAACTCTGGCAGTCCTCTTGCCTCAGTATTCAACAGAATCAATCTTTAAAACCTTTGGCTCCTGCATCCTAGACCCACCATCGGCCACGGCAAAGCCAGAGTCTAAGGGCAGAGCTTTTGAGCAACATAAGAGAATTAAAGAAGTCAGGGTAGCAGGGAGGGAGGAAGACAACCACAAAAATTGTGGTTATCACGATTTCTTTCCGGAGTGCAGCAGGGACAACGTTTTGACCCTGTCGTGCTTATGTTACCCTGGAAGAAACCATGATAACCACCATCTTTGTGGATTCCCTCCTCGCTCCACCGTCCTCCCTGATCAAAGCCATGCAATTAATTGCTTTGCTGCCTGAAAGCTCAGCTGAATATATACTAAACTAATGAAACTGACGAGGTTGTTTTTATAGACACGAAGTGATGAAGATCTACGTTTGTTTGAACGATGACACAATACGTTTTAAGATGCATTCAGATGGATATCTGAACATTCATGAGTTGATTTTTTCCAATAAATTTTGATAATTATTTTCGTGGAAATAAAGATTTACGTTTATTTGAAAAGACAACGTATCTCTACTTGTAGACAAACGCACACAAATTTCTTTTTTTTTTAATGCTTGCATACACTACCCAATGGTCCGATCCCTTACCGTAGGGGTGGGCACTTTATCCGATACCCGAACTCGTACCCGAACCCGACCCGAAATATTCGAACCGAAATCCGAACTAAAATACCAAAATACCCGAACGGGTACTGAGTTAGGAGAGTTTGGATATCCGAACCCGAACGGGTAATACCCGAACCCGAACGGGTATCCGAAGATAACCGAACATATTTATATATACCTATTTATTCCTAGTTTATTTTGTCTCATTTTATTAAAACTATTTATATTAGTGTTATAAATAGTTTAATATCAGATAATATACATATAATTGTAAAAAAAAGTGATTGGTTACTTATTTAAAATACATATTAAGCTTCTTATTTCATACTTTAAACAAAATTTGCATCCAAAATTCGAAAATAACAACCAAAATAACGATTTTTATTTTCAAACCTATTAATTGTCTAACTTATTGAACATTTTAAAAACAGTTAAGTTAATAGTTAAATTTTAAATACATAAAACTTAAGTAATAAAGAATTTGAAAATTTTCTTCCAAAATCTAAATATCCGAACCCGACCCGAAATAACCGAACCCGAACTAAAAATACCCGAACCCGACCCGATATGTAAAAATACCCGAACGGGTTCTAAAACCTAATACCGAAATACCCGAAAACCCGAAATACCCGATCCGAACCCGAACGCCCACCCCTACCTTACCGTGCAGTGTTGTGTTCATGTTTGTGCCAAAATTTTCAAACATTTCTACTAGTGGTTAGAAAAAAATGTATAACCCAAAGAAGAAAGGAACACAAATGTCGGTTTAAGTAATCCAATCCCATTCTCAAGGGAAACCATATCACATTCCCACAAAGCATCATGAGATGTGTAATGTGTTCGAGAACTTAAAAGACCCAATTAGTCGGAACTAAAACCAATCCGAATAAAAGAACAAAACGAACAGTGTCTCAGTAGCCATTAATATGCTTTGGTTTTGTTGTTGTCGATCCTACCAACCGAGAGAACGGTTGCTGCGTTTGGTTGTTGCGGCTCATGTTAAAACTGTTGCTTCCACTTCCGGATTTAGTGTCAGAGTAGGCTTGAGCTAGCTCAAGGGGAGAGGCTGCTTTCCCGGGACGGTGCCCTGTTCCGTCTGGTGACTCCGGTTTCTGGGGAACTGGTTTTCGCCATGTCTCTGGTGATGGATCTCTCTTCTTCTCCTGAGCCTGCGGTTGCTGTCTTGTGCTCTTGATATCATTGTCACGCCAGTTTCTCCTCTGGGGTTCGGATCTGGCTACGTCGCTAACACTTCTCAGGTCCTTTTGGTCGAATTTCCTCGTTCTCAGGTCACGAGGAGAGCTCACTGGTCTTTGGACCGCATGCTCTGGAACTGGAACTCTTTCGATGGGATTGAGGACCGTCCTTTTGAACAAAAACATAATCAAAATGTTAGAACTAAATAGTTGATCTCAACGGAACCGTAATTTAAAAGTATACACGGAATGCAAGAGGCTAGGGGAAACCGGTACTACCTTTCTAACTGTTGCTCCAATTTGTGATGCTCGGTCTCATCAATGCCTCGCTCCTTCAATACCTAGTAACAAAATAGAGAGGCTAAGATCATGTTCCAAAACTAGATGACTATACATAGCCAAGAGAATCGATTCATAACGAACAAAAAAGTGACTTAACAAGAGAATAGTACTCAACAAGAACCGCACTCACCAGCTCTCGTGGTCTAGCACCGCCAAAAACTGCGTTTCTGCACCAGGAACAAGAAAACGTAAACATGTTTGACACACAAATCTTCACTTATCGCCAGGAGGCAGTCGAATTGATATTCTAGAGAAGTGAATGTCAGAAAAATAAGCTAGCTTAAACATCTATGAACTGAATCACATGCTCTACCATATACTACATCTTGGACGTCTGGTGATAGTTTCAGACAGCCAATATCAGCATTTCTATCAATTTGAATAAATATCAAAACATGTGACGACTCAGACCCCTAATCATCTCAGTGTTTGACATCAGCCAGAACAATTTAGTGACATCAAGCTAATTTTTTTGTATCACACTACCAATGACCCCCAAGCTCCAAATATTATAACTGAGTTGAGACGTTTTGAACATCCTTACCTTTCTTTTTCAGTCTTAACTTCTGGCTTCTCAAGCAACTGTGCCACAGGCTTCAGATTCAACTTGGGGCGCTCAACCGGCTTGTTAGGGATCTCATCTGCAGACAACCCAGGTTTCGAAATGTTCATATTTTTCTGTGTTGCATAACCAGTTTCACGTTGAATTAGTTTTGAAGCATCATTTTCCTGCAGTATATAGTTGAACTATCAGAAAAAAATACAAATTACCAAGAAAAAAAACCCTGAAAACCATATAACAAGTACCAGTTTTCCATCAATCACAGGTTTCTCAACGCTTTCAATAGGTTTTGTCCTAGGCAGCAGGTTCAGCTTAGGTCGTTCCACGACTTCAGAAGGTGCGGTTGGTTGTCCAGCAGGCCTAACGTCCGAATAATTTGGATGAGGCTTATTCGCTACAGCTTTCACTTCCTTAGCGTCCAAATAAGTTGAACCAGGGAGTTTCTCATACTCACGAGCGAACTTCTTCCCACCCTGTACCCCATCTTCAACGACCTCGCCACGTTCTACATATGCTCCATGTAACCCATCCCCTTGATTAATCCCATGGCTACTAGCCTTATAACCTCTGCTCTCAATCTCCGAATGCTTAACAACATCAAAACCCATCTGAGCAGGAACCAAAAGCTTAGTCTGCCACCTCCCCGAAGACACTTGCTCAAGCGCACTTGAATTCACCAAACTAGAAACAGGTGGCTGCGTACTCCAAGAACACTGCCCTCCCTCATCCTTAACCGCCACTACATTCACCTCCTTCCTCGCATTCCAAACATTAGGATGACTCCCCGGCACCGAGCTCACACCACCGTCACCACCCCCAGACCAACCACTACCTCTCCCAGGTAAAACCGAGTCGCCTTTCACCTCCAAACGGCTGTTAGCAACTCGAAAAACATCATCACTAACCATCCTCCGAGGACCAGAGTGACCATCAAGAGGCTTCCGCTCATCCTCGCTGAAATTACGACCAATATTCGCAGTGTGGGGAAGAAACAAAGACTTATCATCAAAGTTTCTTATAATATGAGACGAAGTCGGCCTTGTCCTCTGATCAGGCCGTCCCATAGAACCTCCCCAAGGCGCTCTATCAACAAAAGGTGGTCTATCCGTAGTAGCTGTAACCTTCGGAACCCTAAAAAAAAAATCAATAAATGAATTCAATAAATCACACAACCAATAGATATTAAACAAAATCATTGATGCGATTGTAAGATCTGATTAGGTTCGGATTCTCGATTGATCTACCGATAAGCATAACCAAAGATGTATAGACTTACACTCCAGGAGCGGAAGGGAGAGGGAGATCAGATGGTATAGAGCCGCCATGGAAGTCCTTGAGCGTCATGGTGCTACCTCCAGCTTTCTTCTTCGACATCGTTACACACTAAGCTTTTTTTTTTTTTTTTTTTAAATCTCTCTTTTGATTTTTTTTTCCTTGTCTTCTTCGATTGAGATTTTGAGTGTTTCGCCGCCGGAGAGACGGGGAGAAGGAGACGAATACGAACAACCACGGCGGCTCTCTCTCTTGCTCTCAAAGGTTCGTCTCGTTCAGCTTCGGATTCTCAATCTCTCTTCCTCCTCTCGGATTTTATTAAATAGTATATTGAATACCTTTATTCCTCGATGAACGGAAAAATGTTTTTTTTTTCAATGTACCCCCAGTGGAAATGACGAATATATCCCTATTTATAAAATTTATTTACGTTTGATTACGTGGCAAGCATTTTAACACATTCTAGATTCGGTTTCATGATGCCAAACTCCAAACCGAAACGAACCAAGCGGAACCAAACTCCAAACCGAAGATATATAGTTGATATTATTGTTGTTACTCCCATATAAGACTCATGCCCAAATTCAGTATGCTTTTGATTGAAATCAACAACTGATTCGCCTTTATAACTCAACAAATCATTATAAAAGGTTATAAATTCTTAACAATTCAAAGTATAGAACGGTTATTGTATTGCTGAAGATCCCATGATCTGGTGAGGTGGAGGAATTTGGGAAACTAATCAAACTTACCACATTAAACATGCGTGGTTATATATCCACGTTTTGGATTAATCTAATAAGGTCCAAAACATGGATATATAACCACACATGTTGTAGATCAAACATGGATTAATCTAATAAGGACCTTTTAGATTAATCTACAATTCTTGCATAAGTCTGGAATACCTCAACTAGTTGATAAAAAAAAAAAATGCTAAACATCTCTATGTTGATGCACTCCAGAGTTACTTAAGCAACTTGCCACAAGAGTCATCTTCCTCAGAAGATGAGCAAGACATGGCCATGTTGGTGAAAAAAAAAAAGGAATTAAAATTTTATTATGAGGTGTTGTTTCGAGGCTTGAAGATTATAACAAAACAAGGTAACAGAGCTTTAGTACTCAATAGATAAAGCTCTTCAAGTATAGCATTAGGTCCTACTTTTAACGCCAATGAATCAAACTCAGAAAAGCCATTAGCATCTTCAAACTTCTTCATAGGTTTGTGAACTCTCCCTGCGATAACTCTACACAGCACAACAGCTCTCACTGCACCGCTGCTTCTTCCCCGTTCCATTTCGATACATTCAAGAGACGTAGAGCAGGTTGATGCAGTGAGCACTCCTTTGATCCCATCTTGTCTTGTTTTAGAAACGAACCCATGTCTTAGTATCTGACAAACTCCACACTGATCCGAGAAACAGAGGTTTGAAGAGCTGGTTTTGCTTAAACCAAGGGAGCAAGTAAGAGTTGTGCCGTAGAACCCAAGAAACTCGTTCCCATCAGCCATACAGCGAGCGTGTTTCTTCGAAAGCTTGGTTGCTCTTATTTTCACGAGTTCTCTGTAGTTTTCAAACTCTGCAACGACTCTCTGCAGGTTCTCGACTTTTAGAATCGCTGAAATGTTGTTCCCTTTAGTTTTGACAAGCTTGTGTGAGTAGCCTCTGTTGCAGATTAACTCTACAGTTTTTCTTGAGAAGTCTCCTTCTAAGAGCCTAGTGACTACAAAACAAAAATCAAACTCTCCTCAAGACATTGACCAAACATATCTGGAGAAAGAGAGCTAATTAGAGTCTTACCAGAGTGATTAGAAAGGTAATGAGTCTCAAACGCATAAAGATCTCTAAATCTCTGGTGACATGTTCTACAAGAGAGAACTCCAAAACCGCAGATGTCAGAGCCAATAACATCAAATCTCTCAGAGGAATAACGACCTGAAAGTATATCTGAAGAAGATGCTAGTTTCGTTGTGTTTATAAACTTGGAGCTCTCCAGAGACCTTGAGCTACGGAAGCTTGGATTCTGCATAGCCCCCTCATCCCCATAAGTGACAAACTCATTCCTCACATTAGACATTGATCTCGAGAAACCCGATGGATTCTTCATCTTCTGGATTAGGTTCTTGTCTGGATCACCAGCGTCACATGACTTCTGAGCATTGCAGCAGCTAAGAGACTTCTTGAGATAATGCCAAACTCCAAGCATGTTTGTTCAAGATCTGTCTTTGGATTTTCACAAGATTAGATGTGAATTATATAAAAGACTTGATGAGATTTGGGTTTGGTTTTGGACACAGCTTGACCATATCCGCACAAACTGTTTCCAAAATGAGATTGAAGACTTCCATAAGTATAAGATATCACATCACACCACCATAGAAGAAACAAGAAGTAAATCGTTTCAGAAAATTAATAATTCACAGCTAAGATTAACGTTTTATAGTTATTAAGCTGGTCAAAATCAGTTACAACCTGGAAAAAATATATATGATATTTTAGCATATGTGATTACAGAAAGAAAGATATGGTAATCATACTTTTTTCACTTCTCTTCACGTTCAAAACAGAGTATAAGGCCACATGCTGCCTCTATTGATCTTTGACTTTTTTTGAAGTAAGAAAGTCAAACATGTGATCAACCTCTAATTTCAATCTGAATGTTCATATCTTTATAGAAAAAAAGGTTTATCTAATATACACTAGTTTACAAGAAAAGCATCTGAAGTAATATCATTATATATATAAAGGAATGAAACTTTACTTGCTTGGTTAGACCAAAACCGAATCTCTCTGTTGTCTTGTAGTGAGAGGGAGGGCTTAGGAAAGTAATCTTATTCTTTCCTCTTCCGTCGAACTTTCATACAAACAATGGAAATAAATAAGAGTAATCAAGAATAAAAATATGTGAATTAATGAATAAGAAAGAGATGGAAAGCGAACTTGGCTTCTTGGTTTCTGTTCTGATCATATGTGCAGACATTACAGCTACAGTCCTCGGGATTGAAGCTGAGATTGCTCAGAGCAAGGTTCAAATCTTTATACCAAAGCTTATTTTCATTTTCTTGTGTTTGATGTTTCTCTTTTGCTAAAACAGCAGCAGCAACATCATCAACAACATTCAAGACATACTGGATGTAGAAGAAAGCCAAGCCCTGGAGCTTTTGCTGAGGGAGTAGCTGCGATGGTGCTTCTGTCTATCGTCCATGTCACAGCCAATGTGCTTGGTGGCTGCACTTACATTCGCTCTAAGCAAGATTTCACGAGAGCTACGGCGAACAAGATACTCGCAGTAGCTTTACTTGTTTTCTCCTGGTAATGCAAAAGATGAAATCTAAATCTTTGAAGTTGCATTCAACACAAAAAGTGGTTTTTGACATACTTTTTTTTGTTTCTTAGGATGTTCTTTGCTGTCAGTTACTCGACGCTGATGTTAGGAACACTGGCCAACTCGAGTTCTAATAGATTCTGCAGCTTGCCTCATCGTTGGCTCTTTCTTATTGGAGGCATATTTTGTCTAGGACATGGACTGGTGACTTCAGGATATTATGTTTCAGCCATCGCTGCTAAGAAAGAAGACAGAGAGAATGTGCTACCAGCAAATACAAGCCGCGCATGACACGCCAAGATCAATGTCTTTTCGACACGCAAGTATGTTTAGCGATTGTATCAAATTAACACATAAAAATTGCTTCACTGTTAGTTAAAAACTTGATTCCATTGTCATTAATAAATATTCCAAAAAAAATGTAACTCTTCAAGAATCAATAGAAAGGACAAACACACAAAAACGGCAAAAAGAGACAGAACCAAAAACAAAAATGTCTCAAGGGTTTGGTCGAAATGCTTCAGCCATCTTTGTTACAACCTCATGAACGAAACCGCTCTTGTTCGAATAAAACTCCAATTCCCTAAGCTGCAACGCAAGCCTACTCCAACCTTTCTGAGCAGAAAGGTCATCCACACCGAAACGCGTCAGCGCCGTAACAAGAACAGACTTGTCAAACGCATCCACTTCCACAACACTCGGTGCTTCTCCTTTCTTACCAATCTCCTCGTCTTCACCATTAGGCAAAGAAGGAGAAGAAGCTAGCTCTTGCTTCACATCCTCAACCTTCTTACTGCTCTTCTTCTTCTTCTTCTTCGACTTCACAGCAGAATCCAAACCCACCCCATCAGCTCCCCAAACAAACTTGGACAAATCAAAGGCCTTACGATCATGAGGTTTAGAAAACGCAAGCTCCTTCTCTTTACCAAGATTGTTCTCACACTTCTTCTTCAAACCCCTAAGCTTCTTCATGAATTGGGTTTTACTAACATCAAAGCTAATAGATTTCTTCACAAACCCATAAAACGCGTTCGTGTCATCATAAGGACTTGCACCAGTATCGTTTTTGTAATCGATAAGCCCTTGTAAAGCATTAATTTCGTCTTCCTCGCTCCAAACTCGCTGGAAATAAGTCTTCTTGGTCTCTTCTCCTCCTGATCCACCACTCTTGACCTTCTTCTTTGCTGCTGCTGCTCCATCTGTCTCGCTTAAAGAACGCTTCTTTGTAGAAGATTTCGTCAAAGGTTTCGCCTTTTTGGAATCATGATTCTTCGCCACCACTGGGTTGTTTTTCTCGGAGTCGGTTTCTTCATCAGAGCCAGATTTGGAACCGAGACTTGCTGAGCAGAAGACTCAGCTGGTTTCTTCAACGATGGGGTTTTAGAGGACTCGTCGTCGGTTTCTTCTTCCGAGGAAGAGTTTCCTGCGAGAGAAGTCGTCTCCATTTGGTCATCATCGTCGCTTGATGATGCGGTCGGCGGATCTTCCAACGGATTGAAATGTTTCTTTGACATTAAAAACTCTTTAGGGTTTTGTCTTCGGGACTACTTGAGGGGTTGGAACTGAAACTGAGGTTTTCGACTTCCTCACTTTATATACGGTTTTTAGTTAATTAAAAATTCAGTTTGCAAAATGAATTCAATTCAAATAGTATTAAATAAATTCGATAATTAGTTAAATGGTGGTTCCAGTGTAAAATTAAAATACAAATTTAATACTAATTCTTCTTCTTAAATTTTGCAGTTTTACCTAAACATAACTTAATACTCTGTTTCTAAATAAGTGTCACTTTATCATTTTTAATTTTGTTTCAAAAAAAGTGTCATTCTACAATCCCAATGTAATTTTGTACATTAAATCTATTTTTTACCCATTTGAATAATCAATAGTATTTTACTTAAATTATTTTCATTTAATTAAACATACATTAAATAGGGATATATTAGTTTATTATACAATTTTCTTAATTTATGTGTAAAGAGTCAAAATGACACTTATTTAAAAACAGAGAGAGTACTATTTAACAAAGAGTCTCTTTATTTTTTTCAGTCCACTAAGTTGATTTTAACTTTTTCAAGATTTATTCGGATTTCCGATTTGTTTATCTTTTTAGTAGGATTTTCTTCTTCATCTGATATATGTGTCAACTTTCATAATAGAGTAAACTGGAATCTATATATCTTGTGATCAAAATTCACGATTGTGAGTAGGCATGAAAAAAAATCGGAACCGAACCGAAATATTCGAAACCGTACCCAACCGAAACCTTTAAATATCTGAACGGTTCTTATATTTATACCGAACTGGAACCGAAATGAGAATCTAACAGGTACCCGAATATATAATAATATTAATTTTATATACATATAACATAGCTAAATATATGATTTTAATTTAAAAATTTATGAGAAGTATCCAAAAATAGTTGAAGATAACAAATAATTATAAAATATCCGAACTATCTAAAAATATACGGATAATTTTATCCAAATATCCAAAGTAATCCGATATATCTGAAATTTGTATCTAAATCGTTCTAATTATTTCATATTTTATCCTAAATAACTTATAATATACCCGAATTACCTGAACCCAAACTGCAACTAAATGAGAATCAAATTTCCTGGGTATTTTCTGATTCCTAGTTTTACTATCCGAACCGAACCCAAAACTATCTGAACCGAACCGAACCGAAAATAGGTCAAGTAGTAAATGGATCCTCTAACCCCCTATCCGAACTACCCGAAATCCGAAATACTCGAACCGAACGAACTGATACCCCGAACGCCCATGCCTAATTGTGAGTATATGTTACCTTGGTTGGAATCCGACCACTTAGGATATTTCAAGAGATATTTCATTAGGTTTAAAAAAATCTTTTGGATTATACCAATATTATTATTGTGTTACTAATATGGGAAAATGAAACAGAAAGGAATCAACTCACGTTTAAAAACAAGATAATTTGTTACGGATTACACTAATTAAAAACAATTTTATGATATAGAAAGCTAAAGATGATGACAATGCAACTTTTTATTCAAAGAATGTGTAGATCTTGTTGTATTATATTCTTTGCTCCCACCATCCTGTCTAACTCAAACTATATACGCCAATTCCCAAACCAGAACTGATATGCAAATAGCCAAACAAAAATCAGTTTTTGTTTTGTCGGCAAAAATCAGTTTATTTAATGACATATAATGCTCATCATTTGAAAAAAAAGATTATAGTGCAAAGTGATGAGACATATCTGAGTAAATAATCAATTAAATAACAGATGATACAATCAATGAGAAATGAAATGATGAAAATAGCGTACAGAATTATTACATCAACCCTTTCAACTTAATACTTTAAAAGAAAGACCAAAATTTGAGCTTAAGCCCAAGGGCTAATGGAACACTCCCAAGGCATTTTAGGGAATCTCTCACGGTCCTGACAATAATCGTATACGACAAGGTTACGTTGCACCCACGCATAGTCCATCTTCTGTGTCTTTGACAAGTGCCATGCGTCGTATTGGTCCCACCAGTTCTCCGTTGTGGTGGAGACGCAAGCAGGAAACGGATCCTTCCAACGGCAGCCTTCGACGGAGAAGTCCTTGTAGGAAGAGACGAAAGGAGCTTTTTTCCAGTCGGTCTTCTCCAGACCGCCACGTGTTGCCCAGTCGTCAGCGTTCCAGATGCTGGAGAATAAGTACATCGGCTTCTGGTTCGGAAAGAAATCGTTGTTTGGTACCTTGTCACTGTTCTTGTACACACGAATCGGTACTCTATCTACGAAGAACCTGTGATTTGGATTGAGTTTAACCGGGTTACACTTTGTACAAAGCGTTAAAAATAGCTCTACATTGACCAAATCGGTTTAATTTGGTTTTGCTAAGTATAAGGTTCCTAATTTCTATCAGTAATATCCGGTTCGGTTTAACAAGACCGAGAGGTAACTCTATGTTTTAGTTAGAGTAGGAGGGTGGCCTTACACGAGCTGGTGGTTATTCCAGAGAATGGAGTAAGAGTGGTAGTCTTTGGTCGGGTCGAACCAGAGGGAATGTCGCATCTCCCGATTCCCGGTTCCGTTCTTAAACACATTGGTCTGAATTATGTACGGCTCTCCGGTTCGGTTCCCTAGAAATTCAAAATCTATCTCGTCTCTCTCCGGTCCGGCTCCATTCTCCGAACACATCTAAACTCATAAAAAAGAGAGAGAGAGAGTTAATTATACAAAATGAAAATTAATTTATCTTTCTATAATCTGAAAAATAAAAATAAAAATAAAAACAATCTCTCACGTAGTAAGCTGTGACGACGCCGGCTGAGTCGCCACCGACAAGCTTTAGCTTCATACTGAACCATCCAAATCTGTACATGTGCTTGGTCATAAATCCACAACCTGTTTGAAGAAATTCAAAGAAATAAGGAATCTCGAGTTTAAGAAGACGCGCAATACTAAGCTTTATAACGGAGATTCATTGACTATTGGATTCGAACGTACCGGTATCGTTGTCTAATGCGAGATTCCAGATCTGTCCATCCTCGGAAGTCGTGAAGTGATTTTCAGACCACATTATATCGAAATTTTCTTCGAAGGACGGTGTTGGTGTTGGTGTTGCTGTGATTGAGTAAGAAGCCATTAATGCCGCCACGAAAAATAACACAGCCGCCATGGAAGAACATCTCGTCTCCATTCTGTTGTCTCAGCTTCGAATATTTCGAAGAGAGAAAGGGGAGAACGTGATTTCACTGGTTACGAACTTACGAGTTCCGTGAGTGAGAAGACGATGGATCTTTAATTTAAAGACCAGAAAATTTACTGTTCTGACCATTAATAATTCAGTTTTTCTATATTATTAATTCTTCGGTTTGGACTTTGGATACTGCTTGTGAAGATATATTAAATTTGTAAATGAGGGCATAAAGAAACAATCAATTAAAAACTTAAAAAGGAGAAAATTCTCTATATATTAATTGAGAAGTATTATAACACTAGGTAATAACCCGCGCCTTGCGCGGAATGAGATTATTACTTTTGTTACTTTTATGATAAAATGATATTATGTCTGTTTAGCATGAATATTAGTTTAGTTTTACATTGTTTTTTTAATCTCCTAAAATATAACTATCATTCTAAATCTATATTTATTTTGGTTTGTTTGGTGTAAATGTTTGATGTTTTTGCTTTTT